CATTTCAGCAGACAGCCTTGAGCACAACTGTGATCAAGGCTATCTGCTGAAACGCGTTAGTTTTTTTTTTTAACTCATTACAATGTGGAAATTAAGCAAATTGTACAGATTTGGAGTTGTCGGCTCTTCTGACGGCTGGAGGGCCGCTTTCAGCCAGAGCACCTATTGATGGACTCCAGGTTTGATATAAAATGGCCTTCCTGTTGTGAGCGCTGCACCTTTTTCTGTTTCTCCTCAATCATAATACATGCAATCATTCTGTCAAGGAACGTGCAGACAGCAGAGCAAACAGAGAATTAGCTCACCAGTCTTCCGCTGCTCTTCCACTGTGCAGTCAGCAGGCTGTTGGTGGAGAGGGCTCCAGTGGTATAAAGGGTATAGTGGTATAATCCACTGGGCTGTTTGGCAGGGCTGTGTAAATCACAGGACTGGATGGACACAAATAAAAGTTCTTCGGCAGGTAAAACAGATCCCATGTTTGTATTTTGTTTAGCTGTTTACCAGGGGTTGGACTCTGAAAGCTGGACTGCTGCTGAATGGGCTAGTGCAACAGGAAGGTCATTCCAGGAGACAGGAGCAATATAAGAAAAAAAGGTACAGATGGGAATGAGACAGCTAGGAAGAAATTTCATTATGAATCACATCTGGGGAAACGGCTGTAGTGCTTCCATGGTTTGAGGCTTTCATTCAGTAACCCAATAAACACAGTAATAGAGGAAAGTAACAAGTAGTGCCGCTCACCATTACAGAATCTCCTCCAGGTAGCCAGAGAAGATCATTTGTCCAGCCCAGTATACCGGATGCAGCGGTGATGAAGGACCTACCTGTTAGGCTACAACATTTTTGATAACCTCGGTGTATTATTTTTTTTTTATTTTCTATTTCCATCACTTTTTCTGCTTCCCATCTTTAATGTGTCCTCTTACTTTTTTTCATGATGTTCAAAGGATGTTTAATGACGAGCAAAAGGAGCGCCTTGCTCTGGGCTCCGTAAAACTTTTGAGCTATGGAGTTCCAGAACTTGAAATGACTTTTAGCAACTTATTAACGCTTCATGGTTTAAAGACTGAACTGTCTGTTTTTTTTTAATGTATAGATGGCACGGCCTACTTAAAACAATATATTACCATTGTTGTCTTAAAATGGAACTCCAGGCAAACAAAAAGGATAACAGGCGCATGGTGTGGCAGTCCATGTATGTATTGATGAGTTCCAAGTGGGCAGGGGTAAGGGTAGTCCAGTAGGCACTAAGGGCAAGCTGCGAAGGAGCGAAGCATAACTATCTTAGAATATAAAAGCAGGCTCAGGGGTAAGAGGGTGAGATGTCTATAGCCAGATGTTGTTGTGTGACTAATCCAGAGAGGAGATCGATTAGGTCCGCCAGCAGATGGTGCTGTGCATGTGCAACATGAATGTTAAGCCTGGTGGAATCTCCAAAGCCTGCCTGATGAAAGAGCGCGCCTGGACTCCGCTCGTCCCGCGCATGCTTAAAAATGCGTTTGACGACATCGGATGCTACACCTGCTGATCCTGGACATCTTGGAGACTTTGCCAGGCTTCACCATCTATGCTGCATATGCACAGCACCATTGTTTTTTAAAGGGCACGTGACATAAAAGTTGTACCAAAAACGCTTCTCTGAGTCATTTTTGAGGCGCTTTTCAGACGTTTTTCAGGCGTTTTCTATTGATTTCAATGGGAAGAGGCTTTTTTGGGGCTTTTTTTTAACTCACCAAACATGCCCCAAAAATGCTGCAAGCAGGAGTTTTTATACCGCACCGCATGCGCAACGCCTCAGTGTGAAAACATACATAGATATACATTCACATGCACAGGGAAGCGTTTTTTTTTTTTAGCTTTTCAGGCGCTTTTTTTAATGCAAAAACGCTTCAAAAATCAGAGTGAAAGTAGACTACTTTCACACTGATCTGCCGCAAAAACACAACAAAAATGCACTGGCGTTTTTCTGCACTTTTGCCTCGCTTTCTGAGTGTTTTTAAAAGACTCAACTGTATCTAAGCACAATAAACTAAAAACGCAAAATAATTAATTTTTAATATTCAAAGCAAACTCACCCATCCATCTATGTCTCCATGCTTTATTTTGTTGAGAAATCACTTTGAAAAACACCCCCTCAGCATTACTAGCCACATCTATCTTGAGTAAGTGCAGATGATTCTATAGCATTTACTTTCTGGAATCCTTCTGCCCTTAGCTCAGGCATGCATGCAGGTGTGCTTAGCTGAGAAAACCTCTCCTCCCCTCCTTCAGATGAAAGAAAAAAATGCTCATAAAGACTCAGGGGGATGTATGACATCATTTTGACCTAGGCTAGAAACCAGGAAGTAACTCAAGAAATGTTCAAACAGTTTTAAAAAAAAATATATATTCTATTTACTAAGACTAGCAGTATAAGGATAAAAAATAGCTAATGTCGATTAGGAGAGTACATTTCCACAGTGGGTGAATATTTACTAAAACTGGTGCACTCAGAATCTGGCGCTGCTGTGCATGGGAGCCAATCGGCTTCTAACTTCAGATTGCTCAATTCAGCTTTGACAATAAAACCTGGAAGCTGATGCAGAATTGCACCAGATTTTGAATGCTACAGCTTTTGTAAACCTCCCCCGATGCTAGATAATTTCACATCATCAGCATGCAGAGATGTTATTTTAGTAAAATAGGGGAAAATTGTCTGTAAAAGAATAGGCCTGACCTATATAGGAAATGCAAAAATTGCTTTAGTCCATAAGGAGTATATGAGTGTGAAGTAGTTAGAAAACAGACAGAGCTGTTTATCTTAGACTCCCTCTATATGATGGCAACTCCAGAGGTCCTGTCCAAGTAGACAGGCAGGAGGTGGAGGCAAGTCACTGTTCTAATTCATTAATTTATGTGTGTAAATTTCAGCTTGAGCTACCGAGCTCTGTTACCAAGAGGCTCTGTTTACCAGAACTGTTAAGAATGACCAGAAGAAATTTTGAAAAGCTGTTACAATTTGCTGGTTGAACATGAAAATATCCATACAATATAGTCCATATTTATCTGCCAAGCAAAGAAAAATATATACTGTAACGGACCCCAGACACCCACGACTGGGTATCTGCATCAAGAAGCTGCTTCTCAGGCTCTGGAACACGAGACCAGTGACTCTGGCTATTGTTACCCCAAGATCCAGAAGACATCGGATTTGAAGTAAGCCAGAAGGTAGACTCGTTTTTTTGAACACAGATACAAGATATATACACTCAAGGGGCAATCCCCCCTCCCTGCATAATGACACAGGGCGGGGCAATCTACGTTTAGTAACAAGAGACACACAGGTATTCAAACTTCACACCAGCAGACAGTCCCATCAGGAGGGAGGGCTGCTGGAGACACCCCCCCCCCCCCCACTAAGCTAATACACATAAACACATACATCGCATAATAGTTTACTCCCAAGTAAGACACACAATAGAACAATGGGATGCAGCCACATGACATTCAACAACCCCCAAACAATCAACAACCCCACTTATCTCCTAGACATGTCTACACAATATTAGGACAGATCACCCTGTACAGGCACAGGGTGATTTACACATAAGAGGGATATGGGGAGCTGAGACAGGGGTCTCCCCACCTCTCCAAAGTGAGCTGGGTTCCATAGGCCCCCCCACCCAAAGTGACTCCCGTCACATATACAAAACATCTAAATGTGCCCTTTAAAATGCCCATTTTAAACAGTTATATTATGTGCATTACATATTCACTTTTTCTTCACATCTAATTTTTATGAACCCACTGGCATGCTTTAATGTGCTAAGTATTTTGACGGCCTGGGCTCGGTTATGCTCAGAACTGAGTTTTAGATTTCTGGGCTAGGCAGGAATTATATAATTATAGATGCGAACACACACCTTTATGAACTCATGGAGAATACATAACAAAAGCTTGCCGTATTTGCTAGGTAAGACTTTCAAGTGGTGCCAGTTTAGAGGATTGAAATGTAATCAAGTAAAAATTATCTGTATACTTTTGTGTGATTTAAAGCCGGACTCAAGTCAGCTAAAAAAAAATCAGTTTTGGTAGCACCCCCCCCCCCTCTTTAAAGTTCAGTGGTTCTACAAGTGAGGACATCAAGGGCCTGCTCACATTCTGGGAATTGGGTAAGTATACCTCTCTCTGAATCCCCTAGACTAAACAAGAACTACAGCCGAACTATGGATGGGGGGTAACTATCAAAGATGGATTTTTAAAAGCAGTTAGTGAGCTTCTCATGGTCTAGCAATAATTGGTACCAGGAACTGTCTTAACATGACTATTCATGTTAACAAAAATGTACGTACCCTACCCTCCAGCCTTACAGCTTATTACTTTTTCCAGCACTACAGGTTCTCTTTAATGATAGATTATGTGGTGTTGTGTGACAGGCTACCGATGCAAACTCTAATGGATCTCCTGGAGGGACTCTAAATGAAATTCTCAGGAGGGTAACGTCTTAAATGGTTTTCAGCATATGAAATTACAGTTGCAATCTACTGCCATCCATTCTTGTTTTTTGTGGGGTTATGTGTACTTTTTAAAGAATGGCTTAGAAGTTGGATAGCTGAAAAGTAGGCAAGCTGTGTAACACTTGGCATAATTTAGTTAAATGTGTACAAAGTAATAGGAATTGTCGCTCTCAGAACTATGCTAGTGGTTTGTGAAAAAATTCTTCTGAAACAGGCTTTGAAGAAAAGGCGTGAGGCCACTTGGGAAAACTTGGATCCAGATGGAAAATATATGTCCTGAGAATTTTAAAATTACATTATGACATCTGATTCTAAAATCAAAATTATGAGTTTTAAGAATTATCACTCACTGATACCTTCTACATGTTTGTGTTAAATACGCATTAACACAGTGTAGCACTCACCCTCTAAAGGGCCCGCTGATTTGGTCCCAAGGTTTTCCTTAGTAGGGGCACTAGCAGCTGGGCACACAATCTCAGGCACTCCTCCGGCTCAATGATTAGTCTAGGGCAGGGCTGTTAAACTGGCGGCCCTGCAGATATTGCCAAACTACAAATCCCATGAGGCATTCAAAGCCTGACAGTTACAAGCATGACTCCCAAAGGCAGAGGCATGATGGGACTTGTAGTTTCGCAACAGCTGGAGGGCTGCCAGTTGACACCCCTGGTCTAGGGGTATTCTTTATGATGGTTTATTGAAAAACTTGAACTTGGATGGCTGCAGGGTAACTGGGATACTCCAGCAACATTTAGTAGTAACTTAAAGGACACCTATCTCCTTCTTAAAGTTTCCTAGCACAGTCCTTGCAGCAGCAAAAAATTAACTGGACTACACAGGGACTCCATAGGCAATGTCCACGTTTAAGCACAGCTGACTCTGATGCAAGAGGGACAGCAGCAGCACGTGGTCTATACTCACAAATGTCCTTGGATAGTTGTATGTCTCTTTCCAGTATCAGTCAAACATGACTTCTGTGAATTCTCCAGACCAGATCCCCAAAAAGGAATCCCTTGATCAGCTCCAGCAAAGTAGAGTAAGCCCCCAAGCTAGCACAGCTGAGAACTCAATGAACAAATGAAGAAGCACAGCTGGACTGCCCAGAAGGATCTCATCCTCCTGGACAAGAACCCCTCATACTGCTGCAGGCCTCATACTATTTATGCTCCCTCCCAGTCACTTTCTGGACACTCTCCCCCAGGGATTGGCTGACACCACATAAATATTCACACTATAAGATTGACTGTCCCAATCCACCACCTTCCAGAATGATCTAGAAGGCAGGAAGAAGAAGCCAAACCCACAGCCTGTGAAACTCTGAGCAGACCAGAGTAATTACTAACAGCTCCATTAACTACAGGAGAGCTTAAGAATTAAATTTACCAAATCTAGCACCTACCTAGGAGGGCGCTACAACTGTCTGGGTTTTTTAACTGAAAAGAGCAAAGACTGCAGTTCTGGGGTTGGCTGCAAGGTCGGAAGTATGGTAGCAGCTATACTTCCATGGGAAACTAACAAGTGAATTTATACTAGGAGCAGGGCCCTCCTATCCCTCTTGCATTGAACTGTATTGTTGCTGTATTGTCTCCCGTTATACTGTAAAGCGCTGAGCAAACTGTTGGCGCTATATAAATCCTGTATAATAATAATATGTTCTTTACAATTAAACCTGCTTTGGGGGAAACATGTTTGTGTGGGATGACCTGCACGGACTCTCTGGGGTTGATTTACTAAAACTGGAGAGTGCAAAATTTGGTGTAGCTGTGCATGGTAGCCAATCAGCTTGTTCAATTAAACTTTGATAAAAACCTGGAAGCTGATTGGTTCCTATGCAGAGCTGCACCAGATTTTACACTCTCCAGTTTTCAACCCCTCTGTGTGTTTTTGCTGACTAAATAAAGCTTTTCAGATGGTGACATCAGAATGTGATTTTCTGCTCGGCTCAGTGACAGTAAGAGGAGTGGTGACTTTTCCTTGGATTTACAAGTGATTTTATGTGCTTGTCAAAGAAAAGAAAACAAGGTCACACCGCATTGGTAAATGAAAAATATAAATCAAGAGTTGTTAAAAATGTTGAGCCCAGAGTTTAGTTTGTAGAATGTGTTTACCATAAGAACCAACCAGATTATTTTTTTGATTCAATTCAATTCAATCGGATTGAAAGGAAGAATCTACTTCAGAGTCAACAATAGATTTTTGATACTTTTAACTTCAATTTACTTTTTTTCTAATAAAACTTTTTTTTTTTAACAAAATCTAAAATTAGATAACACAGGCTTAGTTTCTTTGTAACAAAGAAAAAATCCTGACATCTGTTGTTAAAATTTCCTGAAATCCAAGTAGCCCTCTGTGTACGGTGCTTGCACTCCAAGTAATTTGTGTTTTGGGATCCTTTCAAGTTTGCTGATACGGTTGCGTTTGATAAGGCTTGAATCATCAAAGGATTGGTTTTCTCTCTCTTCATCTGATGGAGTAAAAACTTCTGACTATAGCTAATAATTACAGACCTTAGAAAGCAGTTTGAGGAAAAGGGCAATTTCAAGTCAAATGTTCATTCAGCCAAAGATGTCCATAGGTAGATGAATGCATTTTTACCTGATCTTTAAGTGATCGCCTACTAGAAACCAAAAAAATGTAATGTAAAAGGTAATGACAAATTTAAAAAACTTTTCTGAAAAGTGTTCCATTTTACGATTGTGATACTGAGGTAGCTAATGTTCAATTGAAGTTACAGGAAGTATATAGGCCTCCCATTGTCAGTAGTTCACTTTTATCTGTTATTAAAGACTATCAAAAGCCAATATTTTTTTCTGTTTTGGATAGAGAGGCGAGAAGTTTTTATTGTTGTTTGAGTCCCCATGAGAAAGATTCACTTCATTTTTCCTCCTGACCATTTTTTGGAACAAAGAGTGAGGGAAAATCCAAAATTTTGAGTTGACTCCCAAACAGGAATACAAGACAACATTCAAATTTCCTATACCTGGAAGCATGATTACACTAACTGGCAGGGATACAAGACTTATGCTTTGCAAATAAAAGAGCTTTTTCATTGAAAAGACTTTTTATGGAAAGATTTCTCTATAATATAATTTTCAGCTGAAAGACTGTACTAAATAATGTGCATGATTGTACTTCTGTTGTAACAAATAAGGTGTAAATAAATAACCAGAGATCACTTGATGTTACTGGAGAAGAACATTTAACAAATTGTGTGGGAGGGAATATATGTTCTAAAGCAAAGAAAACCAGTTCTGATATTCTGAGCCTTGCGTACGAAATTTGTGTTTATTTTGTAGGCAACATTGAAGGTATTAGTCAGGTAGTTTGCTGTTTGTGATCAATGAATGAGTTTGACGTCTTTTGCAATTACAGGTGAAACTCGAAAAATTAGAATATCGTGCAAAAGTTCATTTATTTCAGTAATGCAACTTAAAAGGTGAAACTAATATATGAGATAGACTCATTACATGCAAAGCAAGATAGTTCAAACCGTGATTTGTCATAATTGTGATGATTATGGCTTACAGCTCATGAAAACCCCAAATCCACAATCTCAGAAAATGAGAATATTGTGAAAAGGTACAATATTCTCGCTCAAAGTGTCCCACTCTAATCAGCTAATTACGCCATAACACCTGCAAAGGGTTCCTGAGCCTTTAAATGGTCTCTCAGTCTGGTTCAGTAGGAATCACAATCATGGGAAAGACTGCTGACCTGACAGTTGTGCAGAAAAACCATCATTGACACCCTCCATAAGGAGGGAAAGCCTCAAAAGGTAATTGCAAAAGAAGTTGGATGTTCCAAAAGTGCTGTATCAAAGCACATTAATAGAAAGTTATGTGGAAGGGAAAAGTGTGGAAGAAAAAGGTGCAGGGATGACCGCAGCCTGGAGAGGATTGTGGAAAAGGCCATTCAAAAGTGTTGGGGACTGTATATCACATGGGAGGGGATGCCAACGATATTTTTCAGTGGGTTTATTATTATTATTATACAGTATTTATAAAGCGCCAATAGTTCGCGCAGCGCTGTACATTATAATGGGGGACAGAACAAAAACAATAACAATACAATACAATGCAAAACATGAGGGGATCGAGGGCCCTGCTCCTTGGAGCTTACAATCTAGGAGGGAGGGGATGGTGGTACAGGAGGAGAAAGCTGTGGGGGATGGAGTGGTAGGAAGAGTGGAGGAGGTCAGCAAGTTAGCAGGGGGTGGGGTAGGCTTCCCTGAAGAGGTGGGTTTTCAGGGTGCGCCTAAAGGAGAGGAGAGTAGGTGATAATCTGATGGGTTGGGGCAGGGAGTTCCAGAGGATGGGTGACACCCTGGAGAAGTCCTGGAGGCGGGCATGGGAGGTGGAGACCAGGGAACTAGAGAGAAGGAGGTCTTGTGAGGAGCGGAGTGAGCGTGTTGGGTGGTACTTGGATATTAGGTCGGTGATGTAGTTCGGGGCAGTATGGTGGATGGCTTTGTACGTCAGTGTTAGGATTTTCAATTTGATCCGTTGCGCAATCGGAAGCCAGTGGAGGGATTGGCAGAGGGGGGTGGCGTAAACAGAGCGGTTGGAAAGGTGAATGAGTCTGGCAGCCGTATTCAGGATGGACTGAAGCGGGGATAGCTAGTGGCGAGGCAGGCCAGTGAGGAGGGAGTTGCAGTAGTCGAGTCGTGATATGATGAGGGAGTGGATGAGCTGTTTAGTGGTTTCTGGGGTTAGGAACGCGTGTATTTTGGCAATGTTGCGGAGGTGGAGTCTGCACAAGTTTGTTAAAGATTGGACTTGGGGCTGGAAGGATAGGTTGGAGTCCAGGTTGGTTTAGTAAATTAATGTAGCATGTTAGTTCCCTGCACTCTCGTCACTGTTGCAATTCCACTGCCCAGTACCTAAACACAGTATAGGAAAACATGGCACATGCTGAAGCCAGGAGCATGATTTTAAAGTGATGATCATCCAGCAGCATAGCAGGCACAGGTCCAGTAGTACCTTTAGTTCCCATGCACTGAGCTTAAAACCAAAACTACAGTCGGCAAAGTTATACATACAAATATTGACTGTACTGCAAGCAGATATTTGCATATGGCTAGATACAGCCTTCTCCTACATGATGGAGCTTGGGTATGGCAAATGGTCACTGTATTAGAGGAGGCAGGAAGTAGTGTATTGGCACCCATCATAGCCAAGAGTTTGTAAAGCTTTCAGCAACAGATCTTGCAAGGTCCTATTTGGCCTCAGAGAGTGCCTTCTGTGAAACCGCCATTGTGTGACTTTTCAAAAGGCTTTTTTAACCCTTTGGACCTGGACATGAGAAGATATCACTATGATAATCCTATAACTCCATCCTAACCAGTATTGTCCTAGGGTTCATTATTGCAGTGCAAATAGCACCACATCTAGTTTTGGGATTGTAGATAGAATAAGGCCTTAAAATGGATCTAGTGTGTGGTCAGCAGAGGCACCCATTCATAAAATGATGCTTCCAAGTGAAGGTTGGTATTTATTCAGGGGTGTGGAAATTTGTTTAAAAACTACTTGTCTAATGACTAAATTGGGGTCTCAATCTACTTCTCCTGATAAACAAAATAAATAATTTTAACCAAAACCGTATTTAAATTGGAGGTGATTTTAGGATTGTCTGGGGTTTTTAAAAATGAAAG